CCCCCCCCCCCGCTCACCTGTATCTTCGGAAACACTTCGCGTATCAACTCACATGTCAAATGGATTGGTAGACGTATGATTTGCTTTGAGAAACCTGGGAAAATTGTTCCGAATCAATCGCATATTCAATTGTTGGAAACAGAAATGCTCCATTGGAAATTATCGCAGTGACCTGCTTATCGGAGCTACAGTTTTATCAATACCCATTTTCTTCGAGTGCTCACTCTCAAACGGCAAAAATTACATTTCATGCTCGTGAGGATGTTGAATCTGGACCAAAACCGTGTACAAACCAGCGCCGATCACACCACCAGCAAGTGGAGCAACAATTGGAATCCAAAAGTAATAGTGATCTGCCGTCCAAACCTTCGAGCCGTATCCCACCACGTACGTCAACAAACGAGGACCAAAGTCACGCGCTGGGTTCATCGCGTAGCCGGTGTTCATGCCGAAGCTCATTCCAAGCGCCATGATCATCAACGCAAAGGCAAACGGCGTACCTACCGTACCCGGAGAACGATTGTTTTGGTCCGTGATCGCATAAATGCAAAGCAGCAACATTCCTGTGGCCAGTGCCTCCGTGTAGAACGCCGTGTAATTGCTAATGTCGTCGCTTGGGTAGGTGGCAAAATTGCTCTGCGTGGTCTCCAGATCTGGATCGATCTTCTGAATTTTCTGGTAGTCGAGCAGGTAAATAGCCGCAGCTCCAACGAAAGCGCCAACCAACTGCGAAAGACAGTAACCCGGCATCTTCCACCATGGTAGACGGCCATACACGCAGTGTGCGAGCGTGACGGACGGATTCAAATGCGCGCCGCTGACGCCTTCAGAGCAGTAAACAGCCATAAGGATACCAATACCCCACGCCATGTTAATGCTGAGCCACGTGCCGTTGGTCTCCTCGGACAGACTCACTTGGTTGTTGACACCCATACCGAAGCAGATCATGACAAAAGTGCCCAAAAGCTCGGCGAGGCACTCGCGGACGTGCGCGCTATTGGTGACAAACCATTTCCTGTGGTGCTGTTCGTCACGCAAGTACTGGCTGCGGTTCGTGTGGTGCAACGAGCGCTCACAGCGGTCGATAAACTTGCGCGCGGTGTGCGAGAAGCGGCTAAACGCCGTGTGGGAAGGTGTAGCGTCACCATTTGTCTCGACGTCGACACGCATCTTGATTCGCAGCTTCTTACGGAGGAGAGCGCCAAAAGGAGAATAAGACTGGAGAGGAGAGTTGGTCAAGCAATGGCGATTGTGCCATCGACACCCAGCCCATCTCTGCGCCCGAACGTAGCGTCTCTCTCGGTCTTACTTCGATGGACCGCTGGGATTCAGACTGGCGTGGGTTGCTCATACGATAGCATGTCGTGCATGTACAAGGGTCCTTTGTCAACGGAATTCTCTACAACGTGTAGACTACAAGTTGCGTTGAACTTGGATCGCGCTGCTTGGTGTACAGGCGTTGCCGTACCATCTTTTCGCTTCAGCTTTACCTTTCCCCTCGCGACTGTGGCCTATTGGTTTGCAGTACGGTACATGTACACTGGTAACGTAGCAGGACTCTTGCTGCAGGAGCCCCAAGTCTCGAAGATTGATGATCATGCATCAAGGACTGATGGACATCACACCGGTCTTACCTTTATGTACCCTGCAGGGGCGGTGGACGTTGTCGCAGGTGTGTCGTTGCGATTTGGATTATGTGCCCATGATCATTGCGCTGTGTTTGCTTGATATTGACTCGATATATTGAGCAAAAACCAATTCCCGAGGTAGACGTACAAGTTGGGCGGTGCTTGTATTTACCACTCCCAACTACATGCACTCCAGGAATGCAGCAGCGCCTACTGAAGAACATGCGCTTTCAGTCGGCTCAATCGGTTTGAGTCGGTTTCAATCGGTTTGAGCCGGTACAACCGACCCAGAAACCGACTCGGATTCAATCGGTTTCAATCGGTTTCAATCGGTTTCGATCTGAGTTGAAGAAGTATCCGGATCCGGATAATTATTACTTCGTGCTGTCGGCGACAGCACGAATGTCGACTGTCGGCGACAGCACGAATGTCGACTGTCGGTGATTTGATGATTTCTTGCAGTTAACAATTTTTGCAGGTACTCCATTAATTTTCGCAGGAAACCTCCGAGAATCGATCGGCGGCAACATGCCGTCAGCTTGCGCTTCATGCGTGCCAGTCAGCTGCATGTAGCCTTTTCGGGCCTTTGGCTTCTGGAACTGCGGGATAGGTGTTCCCAATGGCGTCAGGCTCATTTCACTTCATTTGAGTATAGGACGCTACATAAACGTTGGCGAGCCGGATATTCCATGTTGAAGGAGTGGTACTACTTTTCCAGTTTTCAAACATTTCTCTTGAGATCTGTATATTCCAATACCCTTTCATAATTAGCCAAAACAGAAAACCTGCTATGACCAGTTCAGACCAATTCAACATTTCCCTTTTGTTTTTCAACCTCTTATAACACATAACTGGATCCGACGTGAGGATTGCCGTGAGCTGCAAACTTCCAGGCGCTCGTCACATCATTTCTGGACCACACGCAATACCTGATGGGTGTAGAAGTTCCAGCGACAGACCAGCAATCCTTGCATAGGCTTTCACTATGCATCCCCGCTCCTTTTTAGGCGTCGGGTTGCTTCTCTTCATTTTAGAATTCCTTCCGAGCGTGGCGGTCGTGTAAGGTATCGCGGACATTATAGTCAAGTCAAGATAGCCAACGAATCATGGACGGCATGCAGCAGCAGCGCGTCCTAGCCGACGGCTGGGGCCAACAGAGTTCGGGCAGCGTCTTCTGCGCCGACTCGAGTCTTCGCTACATCTACGAGAGCAACGGTCAGCACGTGCCCACATCTCAGCAAACTCTTGGTGGCTACAGCAACACTAACAAGGCTCAACCTCAGGTCTACGGTAAAAGCAATGCCGCCAACAACATGACGTTCGCTGGCAAGCGCCCTCGCGATTATTCAAGCGAGAACGCCCGGCCCAATGGTGGCGTAGACCTCTTTGAAGCGGAGATCGCCAGGGCTTGCAACGCCATCCGTAAGCAGACAGCCAGTATGCCTCACTCGTACCGCGAATGTTCGGTGTGTCTGAGCGCCAACGCGTACGCGCAAATCTCGTCATGTGGCCACACTTTCCACCCGAACTGTTTCTTGCGGTGGTTCCGACTTAACCGCTCCTGTCCGCTATGTCGCGGAGTTGTGGACAAGGTGCAATTGGCCCAAACTGTTGGTGTACAGGACGAACTGGAGGCTATTATGGCCGAGATTGACGACGAGCCGCTCCAGTTAATGCGCGAATCTCAGCAACTGCCCCGTCCTGAAGCGGACGTGGCTGCTCTAGACGACCAGTTAATGTCCTTCCTCGAGTCAGATTTTGACACCGACATGGAACTCGCTGCGTTGGATGATTTGAGTTCTTCTCCAGGATTCGAGTTGTCGTCGATGAAGCAGGAAACTGGTGGAGATGAACCGATGGGGATGGAGCTGGATGAACTAGTGGATAGTGGAGACAAGCAGGAGGTTATGGCTACACCGAGTTACGCCGTACCGAACAACTTCGCTTCTCAGCAATTCCCACCAGCGTCAGCTATGCCAAACTACTGGAATGTTCTGAATCAAGGCATGGCACCTCCTATCATGCCTCCAGCTCCGGCTGTACCTCCTTACGTGCCAAACCACCAGAGAATGGTGCACATTGCACCCAAACCGGACGATAGAACCGTGCAACACGTGCGATCACCGGCCGCTACGAGTGTGAGGGCGACAGAGCCGACGTACAAGATGCCAGCGCCCCAAGCTCCCCAGCAGACTCATCATCACCATGTAGTGCGTACTAGCGCTCCCTCTGTACCTCGTGTGGTGTCGTGCAGATGCACTGGAGGATGCAGGAATGGCCGCTGTGCCTGTGTCAAGGAAGGAGGAATGTGTGGCACCTCGTGTCGCTGCACGTCCTGCAAGAACCCCTTCTTGATGGTCAAAGCGGCAGGTGCAGACATCGACGCACTGTTTAAGGACGACTGCTTCATGCACAATGTGTCTAAGACCCGAGATATGGTGGTGCGGTTACAGGAGCCTGTGTCTGTGCCGTGCTGTGAAGCTACCATCAAGGTCGTGGACTGCGTACAGGGTTACACGTGTAACTCCTGCAAGCGTCGCTACGACTTTTCGTGGTGCATGAACAAACTGCTGGACAGCGAGCGTACCCCGCGTAACCACTGTGCGATCTGCAAGCGATGCTGCGACCATCGTGACGTGCACTGCAACGACTGCGGTCGCTGCTATTTCGCCGGTGTGGCTGCTAGTCTCCCGTGTCCGTGTAAGGAGGCATCGAGTCACAAGAAACGCCGTGAAGCTGCAGCAAAAGACAAGGCCGAGGAAGCAGAGGAAGAAGCTGAAGGCGAGTGCTGTATCATGTAGCTAAAAGTCACCCATTCCCTTTTTCGACTCCACCGCCACCATGGAGAATTTCTGAGATCATGAAAAAAAAAAATCGTGTTGTCATTTTGTAACAGTACAAAAAGTTTGCAAACCCTCAATACCTTGCCTCGTCGCAGATTCTGATCGGAAACACGCATCGTTTGTGTTCGACAAGGCTTGAAGTTGCAGTGCAGACTGTTTGGCGAAACTGTACGGTTGACTGGTTCAAGTTGCAGCAGATCCATTCGACAAAATGGTGCTTGGTTGGTTCTTACAAGCAGATCACGCACCGAAAGCGGATCTGTGCGAACACGACGGTCCGATGCAGCACATCCGGGCAACGACGAAGCCCAAGCACCATTCTGGGCTGTAGCGGTTCAGGGTGAACTTTCGTTGCCAGTGGCTTGCCGGCAAGTCTCCACGTGGCTAGAGCGGCAACTTCGTAAAGTCATCGATGTTTGCGGATACCAGTATCGATAAAACCAAAAAAAGAGGTACAAAGGGCGGATTTCTATTCATCCAGCGATAATTGCTGCTAGTTTTGTGCCTTGATCACCTTCAGATCGTTCAAAAAGGCAACTACTTCCTGTGAAAAAGTAGGCAGGTCAACTTGGCCGCTCCACTGCAAGCACTCGCCTTCCATCTTGGACGCTGCCTCAAGTTGTGGTTGCGTCAGAATCTCCTTGATGTAGCCATTTAGAAACACTTGGTAGAACGAGGCAAAGTCCACAGCCGCAACTCGGTGCAGCAACTGGATAACTTCGTCCTGCAGCAAATTCATCTCGCCGCGCGTCAAAATGTTCATCAATGTCGAGAGGAATCCCATGCGCAGTTCGCTCTGGAATCCTGTAAAGGCAAACAGTCCCTGGGCTTTATCAACCCGATCCAGCAATCCCAGCACCTGCTTACAGATACGCGGTGCCAGATTGGACCCTTCGCGGCTCAAAACACTCGCCAGACTCTGGAAAATGGACAGGAAATACGTGTGTGCTTGCTCCGACGCGTATCCGCGCTCACGTGCGCCATCAGGAGTAAACTGACCCGAGTAAACGATGAAGAAGCGGTAATGTTTCTCCAATAACTGCTCCACCAAAGCCACAAAATAACCCAAGATGACCGAGTCGCTTTCTGGGTGAGAAAAGATAACCTAAAACAACATAATTTAACTATTAACTAATGAATTAAACAGCGTGCAACATGTTCCACGTACCTCTTTAAGCGGCCCAAAGCACAGATCAAGGATATTCTGCAAGAATGAGGAGAAGACGGAAGTCGGTTCTTCGACGACGATCTTCAGGAGCTGTAAAAAGCCGCAGAGAACCATCAGGCCAGCATTTCCTTGGTTGTATAATCTGCATTCAGCACAATAGGATTAGTCTCCAACATTGAGAAAACACTAAAGAAAGCAACGTACACTCCTGAAAGCTGCGAGTCGTTAAAGATCTCCACGAACGTGCGCATGATCTCGGACACCGTCTCCTTCTGCATCTCCTTTCGGATAGATTTGAGTAGCTGCGCGTACAGTCGTACAATCTCGTTGACCACTTTGAGCGCACTTTTGATCTGGTTCTTGGACTGCGGAGTATTCGACGCCGCCATCTTCCGGATAGTAGTGAAGTACGTCGTCAGCAGAGCCATTAGCGACGGGAACGAACTCTGGAACACAGAGAAGAACGCGTCTTTGGCCACCTTGGGCTTTGTCTCGACAGATCGAGCGAGACAACGCACCAAGTAGCAGTCTCGTCTCAGTTGAGCAACCATAGCGTGCTCCAGAACGCGCTGCTCGTTTTGATGCAACGTCACAGCGGATTGATCGATAGATTCGCGAATAGGAACCAGCAACGAGCCATAGGCGGTCTCCCATGGCTGGGGCCCATTTGAGACGCCACTGCTGCCTCGTAATGAGATCGCAGAGTTGAGAATGGAGTTGGACATCGAAGTATAGAGGTCTCCTTGGATCGCTAGCGGTAGATGCAGACTGAACTGGTGAATGTGGGCCTCGAGCTGGCTCATGGATGGGATCTGCACCATGTCTTCGTACGATAACACAAAGCCGAGGTTCGCGAGCAGCTGCATCGAGTTCTGCATCACAGCAAGTGGAGACGGCACAATACTCGTGTCCAGTGTATGGAGAAGCACCTGAAGCACACTCTCCGAGGCATTCAGCACGTCTTGTCTAGCGCCGCTTTTGATGACGAATGGAATGCAGCTCAAACAGAACCTGATGCTCGTGAGCGCTTCGCACTGCAACTCGGCAAAGGCGTCACCGCGAGTGTGCAGTCTGTGCTGCACCATATACTCCGACATTTTGATAAACAAGTGCAAGATCTGCCAGCCAGCCATTTGTTGATTCATCTCGTCGCTGATGCTGTAGTAGTTAGCGCACACACCGGAGAGGATCGCACAGTTGACGGTCAAGTCACGAATCACACAGCGTTGCTGTTCCCACTGCTCCGACTGCTGCGCGATCACGGGCATCTCGTGGATGTGGAACAACACCTTCTCAACAGTATTCTGCACTCTAGGCAGCATTATCTCCAGCAGAGGAGGCGCACAAGAAGGCAGCGCCGCGATACGACGAATCAGTGCAATACAGTCCACAACAAACTGCTTCCTCTCAGAGAGCTCGACCATCGTAGCCGAACCACCAGAGGCATTCCCGCTTGCAACATCCGTTCTAATCTGCGCCAAGTCCTGTAGGGAGCCTTGGCCATAAGCGCCACCTGTACCCTCTAAGTCAAAGGCAGCGCTATTGTCTGCATCCTCGTGATCTCCCTGGGTTCCAGCGTCATCACCGTCATCCAACTCGTCCAGTTGGCTACGATTCGACTCGTACCTCACACGCTCCACAAGATGCAGCATCACAGCAACAAGCCCCTTCTCGTATGCCGTCAATACTGCTCTCACTCGTTCATTCGCCGCCCCTTCATTCTGCTCAATCTCCTCAATATACGACACAAACACCTCCCACACTCTCAAACAGTTCAAAAACCCTTCAATATGAGGCTGTTTCGTCGTAAAAGCGTGCACCGACTGCAGAAAAGTCGGTAGGATATCTCCATACTTTGGGTTCTCCAGTCTCTTCAAGTGTTGGGTTAGAAACAGTTCTACGAACACACTCAACTTGTCCAGATACTGCTCCGTCGCTCGGCCAATCAATTGATCCTCCACCGTCTTCTGTAGCAACGGACACAGCCCAAACATCACGTGGCCCACTATTTCATCCACTCTTGCAGGTGCAAATCTCTTGCTCATCAGCTCGGCCAGACACTGCAGCGCCGTCGTACTCGACACACACATGTGGGACGTAAACCCCCTGGCAAACACGCTCTCCCAGTTCCTGGCCAGCTCGAACAGCAGATTAATCCACGCGTCGTTCACCTGCTCAGCCACTGGAGCCCACGTGATCAAATTATTCAACGTGGTCAACGCCACATTTGCCACTCGATCCTGGTCCACAACCACTTGAGCTTCTCCGACCTGTAGGAGATGGCTACATCCTTTCAAAGTGTTCGCTAACAGCACCAATACACTCGGCAACTGAGCTATTAATCTGGCTTTGGCTTGTTTCTTAATTGTAGCCATCACCGTGGCGTCATCGCGTCCAAACTCTTCCACGACGACACTGAGCAGCTCCAGACCGCTCTCTCTGGTCCTCTCCTCGACGATTAAAGCCTCTATTTGGCTCATAAAGTCCGGCCATGTGGCGTCTCCCTGTTCCGCGCTACGCCACTGGATCTTGGCGATATCTGCTAGTACTTTCCTCATCTTCCGCCGCACGAAGGCGATCTGGGCGCCTCCAGAGGAGCTAGAAGACGCCAAGAGATAGTCCCATACGAACTGACGGATACGCAGTTGCTCTGAGGCCGGGAAGTGGACCCATTTCTTCGCTACATATTCCTCCAGCGTCGTGGCGGCGAACCAGAGCGCGTATTCGTTCTGGGAGGTGGATAGAAGCTGGAAGAGCACGGGCAAGCAGGCCGCGGGCGTCTCCTTGAAGCGCGTGAGCTGCTCCTCCAGCTGCTGCTTGTCGCCTGGGGGCGTCGTGGGGTCCAGTAGGCGGCGCAGCGCGCCTTCCACCTCGGCGATCATGGCGGCGTCACCGCTCATCGTCACAACTAGTCGAATAACTTGGCTCGGTTACCTGACACAGCCTCGGTATTGCAGTACAGCAAAGTGCTTTTTTACTCAAGAAAGTACTTGTTTTGTATTATGTGTACAACACATAATGTTATGTTTTCTACACCAATAAAGGCTAGTCGGAGTTAGGTACATCACATGTTTGATGTGAAGTGGGTTCAAAATGATACCGCGCTCGTATGCAGGTGACGGCGACGGAAAGTGGCTGTTGTTCGCGCGAGAGGAGGCAGTGGATACGCTTGTATTTACTGCGGTGGTAACACATACGACGAATGTGGTGGCACAGCTCGAAGTGGACGCGGATGCGCTGAAGCAGCACGTAAGAGACGGCAATGGCATTTCCAATCGTGCATTGATCTAAAGCTGTTGCTGCTGTAGAGCGAGGAACTGGGGCTCGAGATGGACGTCCACACATTCAAGGCACTGCTAGTGGTGCGTTCATCTTCACTTTTTAACTGATTACGTGTAGTTGAATGAAATATTTACCTAATGTTGCCAATTGGCCACAGAAAGCTCTGGAGCAGTGTGCGTGTGTGGATGTGGAGATCGAGACGGAGAGCGATACGGTGAAGGAGGTTTTCCTGTCGCTTACGTACAAATTCAGCCCCACGATCTCTCGAAAGGGAGTTTTTCAGCTGTCTATAGTGGCCCAAAACGCGCCACAGAGTCTAGTGGATCTACTAAGTAGCATCCACGCTAAGCCACCGCAACCAATGCTGTCAGAGCAGCAGAAAGCAGATAAAGGGAAGAAAAACATTGCCGCTACTGCAACTGTGGAGGTAGGAGACCATAATACCAGTCTATTAGGCGGCCAAGAGACCAAGAACGTCTCTATGGGATCCCAAAACTCGGATAATGGGACGATTGCAGCAGTAAATCCAATGCTGCTCAAGAGGAGACACATGCCTACTGGAACCACGTACGTGATGCATGGCTATTTCTTTCTAACATTATTTTTTATTATAGTTAACTACTGGATGCTTGTACAGGCGTCGAAGAGGTCCCAAAGGTGCCAAGATAGCCAAAAAGTAGCAACTTATGTATTCATTGTATTGACTGCCTTACCCTTTTGCACCGGAAGCTCTGCTGCTGTCCATTTGATGCGTTGACCCATTTCCCAGAACCCCTTACGTCTCGAACCATTACGTGTAACAGTCCCGTCTCCATGCCGAAATCCAGCGTGCCAAGTGCCTTCGTATATTTCGCCAGTAGCCATGATCAGCTCCTTTCCGAAGCCATGAGCTAGTCCGTCACGCCATGAACCTTCATAGAAGCTGCCATCTCCACGCGTATATTTACCTGACCCGTGCATCCGACCATCTTTCCAAGAACCCACGTAGACGGCAAGCCCAGCACCCGATCCAGTCGCCATTGCACCAACGATCTTCTTTAAAGCACTGGAATCTGTGCTTTTGTTGGCTGCAGCAGAGAATTCCATGCGACCATATCCATGGCGACGACCGTTCTGGAACTCCCCATCGTATTTACTTGTACTAGATCCTCGTGTGAACACACCTTTACCGTGGAAGACGTCGTGTTGGTACTCGCCTTCGTATCGATCGCCACTAGTTAACCACCTCTCTTTGCCGATACCATGCCGTTCACCCCGACGCCAGTCTCCGTCGTATACCCGCGTGCCGCGATGAGAGGTCAATACCCCATGCCCATGTCGGAATCCTTGGAAGAACTCACCTTCGTACTTGTCTCCGTTTACAAAGGTCAATTCTCCTTTGCCCTGTCGAATCCCTTCTACCAATTCACCCTTGTACACGGCTCGCATGCCTCTTGTTATAAAGGGACACTCAAGCGTTACAAGTAACAACGATCCGGGTACTAGTATTTGCTTCTCTCTCTCTCTTTTTTTTTTTTACTATACTGTACAACCGAGCCATTTCTCTACTGCTGGATTGCATGCTTGTCCGATTCCCTTGGCAATCTCAAACCGTCGTAATGCGATGTAGTTCTCGTCGGGCATACAGGCTAGAACTTGAAATCTGGAGTTGTAGCAGATTCCCGTGATGTTCCCAGGAAATCGACACTGTCGGTATGGTTTTCCTTCGCACATCTCGATTGTTTCTTTCGTCGGGAACTGCAAAAGTTTGAGTTTGTCGAAAATATTTTCTTGACAAATGCATGGAGCAAAGTCTTCGAACACCTTCTGAGTTGCAGCACTCCCCAGAAAGGGGGTAACCGGCAGATTTGAGTTCTGATCGTTCATCAGACATGTTGCTGGAGATGTACCCAGTAACGTATTGGCTTGACAACTAACGTGGCTCAAGTTACATGGGCCCATGAAGCCGTTGCAACAGACATGATTCGGTCGGAAAATCACGAATTCCTCGATATTTTCCAGCGAAGCTAAATCAGGAATCCGCTCGAGTCTGGGAAGCAATACCAGGGCGAGTCGACTTAACTTCGGTACGTTCTCGAAGCTCGGTAGTTCACGAACTTGAGTTGTCCACGCTAACGTGAAACTTTGCAGGTTTGGGACTCCTGTAAAAGAGGGAATTGTTTTGAGATTGACTTGGATACCCAAATGTATCAACGATAGTTGTGGAAGATCACTAAACATATCTTCTGGAAGATCGAGTAAGTTGGTAGTACCATATCGACCTTCAATGTGACTGTAACAAATCACAAAAAAGTTAGCTGAGGGCTATTTTTTTTTTCTCTTGTTGATACGTACATTGTTTCAAGGCTACGGAATTCTTTCACCCAAGCTGGAACGTTCTCAACATCTGTGTAGATGAGTTGGCTAGCGGTATTGGCAGTATCGGATTAGACCAACGTAGTAACATTTTCAAAACACGTATTTGAAGCATTTTTCAGTTAGACGTACATTGTTTTGAGTCCTTGACACCTGCGCAGCTCCTCTGGCCATTCTTTCAGTTGGCGATTAACAACTTGAATCGATGTGAGCGCTCCAGCTCCTGCAAGAGCTTTAACCTTGTGATATGTGCTAACTGCATTCACCCATTGATCGTACGTCTTTGGCGCTAGGTCGACATCAATTAGGATAAGACAAGGACAATGTTCATCGCTGGTTTGCCATCGATGCGCGTAGACGACACATTCTGGATGTGACGCGCACAATGACGCCGAATCGTTAATAGCTTTATGAGTTGATAGTAAAATGGCTAGGATTGCTGCCACATACACGACCCCAACAACCTTTGGAACTGCGTTCTGTGAGATTGGAGCCGTGGTAATTGGTACAGTTTTCTTGACTCCTCTTGATGCGTATTCACGGTATCTGGTCCAGATCAGAGCCTTCAGAACACGCTCAAACCGGTAGCACAAGGCTAAGTTCATGCTGATGCGTATTGCAAAATCCATTGGCGAGCTGATGCGAAGAGAGTCGAAAATCACGCGGAAAAGTGCCATTTCCGATGGATCGGCAAATGATCGAGCGTTGTGTTCAAAGCTACCGACTGGCAGTATCTCCAAGTACGAAAGATAAACTTCACGATCGAAGTCGAAGTTGTAGTAGCAATAGACTAGCGTCAAAATCGGAAACAAAACTGCTGCAGCCAAGTCAAAACTGGATACAATCACAAGTTAGTACATGATCGACATCATCATCAAAGTTTAATTTTTTTTACATACATGGAGTCGATAAATATCTCCGTCAAAGCAGAAAACCGGTCAGTGAGCACATTTACAACGGACGATAGCGCATTTACTGCTAGAAATCCTGCAAAACCGTACGTAAGACTGGCGGGGCTCCCATTTTGTAACAACTGACGTAGCATGGCTGTCTCCATAGCTAAATCAATCAACTTGAGAAAAGCATTCTACAAGTTCAAAAGTAAGAACTCAAAGACTCTATGCTCAGATGAATTCATAAGTTACTTACCCAACGCTTGCGATTTTTACCCTCGTATGATGTGAGATCTTTCCACATTTGACGACCACGTTTGTAACTTGGGCCAATGACTCTTAAAATCCTTGACGAGGCCCAATGATTTGATTTACTGCGAGAACTCGAAGAAACAAGCACATTTCGCCACAACAACGCTCTTGATATCACCGAAAGATAGCAAATATCCACGACCATCAAACCCATAGCTCCTGCTTGTATCATACTTGGATTTGCATCAGTGATATACCAGAATCTCCCGTTGTCGTATTCACCAGTGTTCATCAGAGCATTTGCTGTCTCGTTCGGAGCCAATGCTAGGATAATGAGCCACGTAGTCCATGCGAGACACACAATAAGAATGGCCATCATCGGAATACCCAGAACCCCAAAAGCACCATGAAACGAGGGATGTCGGCTTGTCGTGTGGCGGATATTTGGATTAGTATCTAGCTTAAGCTGCTGTACACTTGGTCCGTTAGGAAGAATTTGGTTGCGTTTCACATCACGTATATGGTCTTCGAGGCCAGTTGATGCTTGAACACCAGCCTGTCTGGCCACACCAGTCCGGTTGGCAATCGTGGCACCAGGAGCTATCCCCGTCATCACTAACTCTATGATAGAGTGTCTAGCAACTGTACCTAAGGAGAACCTTGATGTATTTTTGTACTACACTAAAAAATACTTAAGGTAAGTGAAGTACTAAAAGTTCGTAAATTATTTGTATGCTCTCATATTGTGTTATTTTTCTCTCGTCCAGCAATACTGGTGGTTCTGGGCAGATAGCTGATTTGAATTTGCCAATATAGTTGTGGTGAAGTCTCAAGACGAAGAATTCTTATAAGGGATAACAAAAATCTAGAGCGCTTCCAGTTAAACTAAGTGCCTCCGATGGAGGTGGTATCTTAGATTACTCGAAAAAATCGAAGCTCGTGCTTTTATCATTACCCGTTGCAGCCAAGCCATATCTCTTCAACTGGATCACACGTTGGTCCTACACCTCTTTCAATTTGCAAGCGGCGCAAGGCAATATAGTTGTCATTGGAGAGGCAAGAAAGAACCTGAAATCGAGCCTTGTAGCAGATGCCAGTTCTGTTGGGTGGGTATTCACACCGTCGGAACCTCTTTCCACCACACATATCAATCGTCTCTTTGGTCGGAAAAGTAGAAAAGTTAACCCCGTCAAATGGTGATTCTTGACAAATACTTGAAGAGAATTTCTCGAGCGCATTCTGGGTACCTATGCTCCCTCGAAATGGTGTGAATGGAGAGGTAGAATTTGTGTCATTGTGAAGGCATGTTGTAGCAAGTGTGTCCGTAATGGAATTCGCTTGACAAGAGCTATGGTTTAAAGCGCACTCCCCCATATAGCCATTGCAACAGACATAGTTTGGTCTGTAAATGACCATTTCCACAAGGTTCCGAAGCGGGGACAGGTCGGGGATTTGCTCCAGTGTTGGGATTAAAGTGAGGACGAGGCGGCTTAACTTCGGTACCGCGTCAAAACTGGGTAATATGCGCAAGTGAGGCATCCAGGCAATGACGAAGCTCTGTAGTTGTGGGACTCCAGTGAAAGGAGGAAAGTTCGTGACGTTCTCGTGAATTCCAAGTTGAATCATGGTAAGTCTTGGTAAATCGCTGAAAAGATCGATTCGACAAATTTGGTTTACCATATTTGCCTTCGATTTGACTACATGTAGACACCAAACACATGTTAACGTTTGTCGTACTGTTGAGCTCAGCATTTTGTTACTACACATCTTACATTGTCCCTAGATGCTTGAGCTCCTTTGTCCATGCCGGAATTCGTTCCGTACTTGTGTAAATCAGGTGACTGGATTATTTTAAATTACACTCGCATTCCGTTATTAACCTGATCAATAGTATACCAACGAAACATACGCACATGGTTTTTAAGTTCTGACACTTGCAAACGTTGCTCTTCAGTAAGAGCAGCCGATGGGGGCCTTGACCAGACTGCCAAATCGTTCGTAAACACCAATAGCGTTGTAAAATCATGCCGAGAAACTACCCGAGAAACAAGCAGATACATCTGCTGGGGTTTCTTTACAAGAGCAACAGGAAATTTCCAACCTACAACAACTATCGAATACAATGCTTCACCTTGGACTTTCAATATTGTTGAGCTTACAGCGGACACTATCAGTAGTTGCTGGAGCTTGACCGCGAGGTGTCGTTTTTCTCCGCTTGGGGCCTTGGGGAGAGAAATAGAAGTTTTTGCGTATGATTGAGCGTAATAAAACACGGGGAAGAGTGCAGCGCCTTAATGACTGTAAAACGAAGCAGCATTTGGACCCCTATTTATCCGTAACATCCCGTATTGGGGTGGTTTGGAAGGAACCTTAACGATCATTCCTATTGTACTGTTTCGAACGGCCGAGACCACCCGCTACCTCATTGCTTCATACGAAAAGGAGTGATCAACAGAAACCACATCATACACGTACCATTCGCGCAGCCTAAGTGAAAGTTTTCATACAGCCCTTTCGTCGATATCTTCAGAAACACACCACTGTGCTCCAGTCGTGTCGGTTGAGTACGTAATATACCTGCAATTTGGCGTTGTCTCGACTTAGTTCGTCAATTAAACTCTTTAATTACAACAATAAAGGTTCAGTGTTCTCTCAGGCCCATCATCCATCTGCCCTTTGTATTCTCTCCTTGTTGTCTGGAACCCTTTTATCCATCATGTCCGCAATTCCATTGATCTTGCGGCGCCAAACATCAGTTTCCTTACCATTCCTTACCATCACGGGTGCATCACTTTACACCACTTCGTGCTACTTGGCATAGTAACAATAACGACTACATTAGTGATCGTAAATGGCCCATGCTCATTTGGATATCACTACCTTATGCTCAAACCGGCATCTTCACACGCGACGTGATGCCCGTGTTCTTGATCATCGCACACCCTTCCACGTGGTTCCCCTTGAGCCACTCAGTGGCTACAGACCAGAGAACAGCCAATTTGGAGTCCAGGATCGTACCATTCTCGTCCGCTTGGATCTGTAGCTTCATCACGTCGCTACAGGCGAGTGCACGCAACAAGGCCGCGCCCACGTCCTTCACAGATCATCCGGAGCGTCAGGGGCGACTCCCGGGACTCTTAGGCCTAAGGTCGATCGAATGTCATTCCACGACATCCACTGAGTGGAGCATATGGAAAGTCGCTCGAATGTCGTTCCATGACATCCGCTGATGTGGAGTATGTGGAAGGTCGCTGGAATGTCGTTCCATGACATCCAAAAATAGTGGGCAAACGACAGTTCTTCGAACTGCGAATTTCGACCGTTTACTTCAATCGGAACCGGAAAGAAGAGCCGTTTTTTTTTTTACGGTAATCGATCTAAATTTTACGGTCCGTATGCCGCCGCTAAACTTCTATCTCAAACGACCTAAATGTTAGGTCCGACGGGCACTTTTGATTCTCCTCTTCGGCCTGCATCAAGATAGAATAATGCATTCATCGTCTGAAGAAGCTCAGTCCGATTCCCAGGTCACGTCGTTCATCAGATCAGTCACTCGTGGCGTTCCCCGTCACTACAAAACAGCCTACTTACTGGAGCATCTACAACGTGCTCGAAAGGCGATCTTTACGTTGAAGCTGCAATGATTCTTGCAGAATTGGCATGCCTGCCAGCCCTTTCTAAAGCACTTCGAGTATTATTCAACTTCAATGCCTTATCCGACTCGGTGCGCAAACGGCGCTTTCGATTCGATAAGTCGGAGTTGTGTACTCTCGTCCAGCTGATGAATATTGGTGATATCGTTACCCGCGAGTGGACAAGAGCTGCCAGTATTGAGGCTCTTTGTGTGGTTCTGTACAAGTTAGCAGTTCCTGTACGTTGGGTGGATGTGCGAGAGTTTTTCGGGCGATCATCTAGCGGACTGTCCAACGTATTCCTCCACCTACTTGACGTACTGGAAGCTGAATATGCCGATCTACTTTTGTTGGCCCATTAAATTGCAGCAACTCGACTCTCTGAACACGCTCGAGCTGTTTTCGATGTCGGCAGTCCGTATACAAATATCTGGGCATTCAATGACGGTACTGTTAGAGGAACCTGTCGGCCTACGCCTCGTCGCCGAGGCCGAAAGAAAAACAAGCATCTGGACCAGCAATCTGTATACAATGGACACAAGCGTAAACATGCACTGAAGGTTGAAACTCTAGTCGCTCCTGACGTGTTAATTTCACATTTGTATGGTCCGTACCCTGGAAGAAATCACGACGTCAAAATGTATCGTGAATCCGACCTAAGTACAATTATCCGAAACGTGAACGCTTTCGAGAGTATCCAATTTTTGGAAACTGCGCCTATGGACGTGACGATGTACTGAAAAGCCCATTCGAAGGAGCTATTGAAAATTTGACGTCTGAACAGCGGCATATCAATTCTGCGTTGAGTAAGATCCGGGTTTCCGTGGAGTGGTCCTACGCTCAAATCGTGAAGTATTGGAAAGCTCTGGAGGTGAAGTCAAATTTAAGAACAGGATCGCAGCCAGTAGGTCAGATGTATCGAGTTGGAGTATTGATGACAAATTGCATCACATGCATTAGTGGTGGAAGTACAGCCAGTGACTACTCCGGTGTGTCTCCTCCAGATATAAATTATTGTCTTGGGTCTGCATCATAGTGATAACTCTTAGCCAAAGCAGCACCAAAAATCTGAGCGCACTCCAATATCATCTCCCGATTGCTTTGTTGAATACGTTGCTCCAATTGAAGCCTGTCTTCAGCTTGTTTCTTATCAAATTCCAGTCTTTCTTCAAATTGCTTTTGTCCCTGCTCTAGCTCACGCTGCTTTAAATCCATTTGATCTTTGTACTTCTCGTCTTGTCTTTTTATCTCCGTTAAAAACGCATTCGAGCGCTTAACCCCTCGCTGTATCGCCTGCTAGAACCCGTCGATATCGTGCTTTCAGTTCCCGACACAACCCTTTGAGTGACACTGGAGTCACCAGAGTCGTTGTAGAGAGAGGGCTCGTCACGTTCGGCTCGGCGACGACGGCTTTCGGCAACTATAGCAGCGACGCACTTAGCAAGATCTTCCCTCTTCTTCTCTTTAGAAATCTTTTGAGCTGCTTTAGTCTCATGGTGAAGCTGTTTTAGCTCCATATACTCCTGGATCAACCCATCAATGTCTGTGTAGTGAGTTTGGACGTTAACCGCATGGATGGACTCTTCCACACCACTTGCCAGCGCCGAAAGTTGCTCCTTTTCCTTGAAGCGAGCTTTTAGTAGATTTAACCTGTCGCGGATCTGCTTCACTTTTATCTCTTTTTCAAGGCAGAGCCCAAAGCCGCAACAACACTATATCATATCTCCAGTGTCGATCCGCCATTCGCTGCAAACGGCTTCTCACGAATCAACTCCTGCAGCATCTTCAGATCTTCCATCGTAGTGAACCGGGACACCATCTTATGCAAGACTCAGCCCCGCGCTCTGCGTGTGCAAAAATGAGTTATTTCTTGATGAAGGGCGATGTTATCTTTATTGTCTTCAGCATCTGGCACAAACCGAACTAAAATAGAGTAGCTAAACACGTCTTTCGTAATTATCTGGTAGCCTGAACATTCGATCGAAAACAGAACACACAGTAAGACTGCTAAAGATCTCTATTGTGCTTTGCACACATTAGAGAGGTTTCGAAATGCCTTTTTCCTTCTTCTGTTCCCACAACAGCATAGGCGTGTGGGAGTGGGGGTGACGAATATAAACGGAGATTTTGCAGCCTTACACCCATACCCCCGCCAAATTCGATTGCGTCAAGACTCAATGTGGTCGTCGACCAGCTCGATCAATTCGTCGAGCACGATAGCCCTCTCGCTCTCCTCCTCAGAAACACCCGAGACTGCCATACTCTTCTCGTTTTCTTCCGTCTCGTCTTGACAAGTTTGTCAAAACGAGCCTGCGCATTCTTACCACTCAACTTGAGCCGCAGAAACGAGGCTTCTGCTACCAGCTTGGCAGCGAGAGCATCCCACGCGCCAATAATTTTTGCCTCGCTGGGCCAGAAAGGGCCGATATCCGAGGGCCTGGCGCAGCAACACCACGTCTTCTTTTTAGAATAGCTCTTACGCTTTTAGCTGCCCATATTTTCGCACGCAGTTGTGTAGCGAAGAGGGAATGAAGGCTTGGTTGCCGACCAACGGTGTGTGGAAAGTCTCCCTCAGATTTTTGTTTTCCATAGGAACATTTCGACAGAGTTCTGCCTAAAGTTTCGTTTATGAAACAATGCGGAGCAGTTTAAAGGAATGGGAATGGAAAACCTGACTGCGAAACCTCTCTATTCTATCTAAACGATGTCCTAACTCGTTGTTTTAGCAAATCTTGAAAAATAATCCAACATTGATTTACCTACCGTAATCGTCGAATTAACGTTGGATTACCATTTACTCGAAGAGTTAATGTTGTCTTATGAGTGTTTTTGTTGAATGGCTGTAGTAAAGCGCCAAACGAAAGTCGCACACTCTAAGTCTTTCTTAAGACAGTGTAACTACATTCCAGAAGATGACAATTTCTATCGACATGCGTTGGAGATCGATTGTGCTGACCTACATCTACGGCATTGACCTAAGTTTCGTTGCGTCCGGTATGGGGGGCTTGACGCGGTCTATTTCTCGTTGGGGTTTACTGTTTCGTCGTAGACATAATATGATACCGAACACGCGAATTCCGCTTCAAATGAGAATGAACCTTAGTTATTTGTTGATTGGCCGTGAAAGAGCTGGGCAGTGTGCAGGCAAGCTCTTGTTCAAGTCAACAAGCTGGGAAAGAAGTAGCCGGGCA